TGAGGGGACACTTGAGTTTCCTGGGCCAGAAGGAGCCCGGAAGTGAGCTCACGTGCATGCACGACCAGCTGTCATCCACAACTTGTAGGCATGCCTGCTGTGTGGCTCAGTGATTGACCGCTGTTGACCCAAGAACCAGGAGGTCACGGTTCAATTCCCGGCCAGGGCACAAGCCTGGGTTGCGGGCTCGATCTCCAGTAGGGGGCGTGCAGGAGGCAGCCGGTCAATGATTCTCTCATCATTGATGTTTTTATCTCTCTCTCTCCTTCTCCCTCACTGAAATCAATAAAAACACATTAAAGAAAAAATTAAAACCTGTAGGTACTTACAGATAACCACTCTAAACTTTTGGAGAAGGGAGTGTTATTGGCGTGAAACTTGGACTAATTACTGCTCTCAGCCATCCCCCTTCTGTCCAAGCTGCTCTCTCACACATGGTTTTGGAAAATCACTTCCTGAGCAGACTATGGTCAGCCCCCACGCCAGCCTAACCAGCTGCAGCCTCGGTGAGTTGGTAGATTTCCACAGGCTGGGAGCACCCCCCCTCCCCTTCCTCAGGGGAAGCTGTTCTGACCGGAAGCCTCAATGAAACCTGAAGGTCTGCCAATTTCATTATCTGGCCCAACATCTCCCATAGACAAGAGTAAAATGAATCACAAGTTCCTGAATAAAATAAAACACAGGGTGCACTCGTTTGTTAGTTTCCTCGGCCATGAGAAACCTCTTGGGCTGCTCCTGTGAGCTTTGCTGACGTTGGGATAATGGAGGCCTCGGACAAAGACGTTGTCTTTAAAACTGCAGCGCTGCCTGCTCCGTATGCAGCGGTGTTCCTGGACTGAAACATGCCTCCTCTCACCCCCGGCCCCCATCCTCGGGATGTTAATTAATTGCATCGTCATTTAAAAAATGACATTGTTAATTACTGCCTCGCATCTCCCTCCCCGTCACAGCCTGGAGTCTTTATTCAATTAAATCTCTGTCTCTTGCCCATTTCTCTCGTCACTGTGGGTTCCTGGGGTCTGTCAGCGTGCACACAGGGATGCTGCAAAGCTTTTATTTTTCATCTCTGTCCCTGGAGGTGACCGCCTCCCTTCGCGGTACAGCCATAGGGCTGGTGGCGTTGGTTCTGCCCCAGGAACAGGGGCACGGCCCGCACAGCTGGGGCCACCGGTGTTTGCCTGGGCCCGGGCAGGGCTGCTTCCTCGGCTGTTCAGCGCCATCCGCAGCTCCTCCAGAGGCCGCAGCTTCTCCAGGAAAGTGGGTCACCCCCTCAGTCTGGAAAGCGAGATGCTTCGCCCACCAGGGGAGGGATCCTGCTAATTCTCATAAACGCCCCGTGGCGGAGTGATAAGAAGATCCGATGGCAGACTGGAAGATTTAAAAAGAGCATTAAATCTCTTTTTAATGCCGGGGTGGCTCAGTGGTTGAGCATCGTGGTTTGATTGATTCCCGGTTAGGGCACCTGCCTGGGTTGCGGCTCAATCCCCAGTGTGTGTGTGTGTGTGTGTTGGGGGAGGGAGCGGGGGTGTGCAGCAGACAGCTGATGGATGATTCTCATCTTTAATGTTTCTGTCTCTCCCTCTCCCTCTCTAAAACAAAAAATATATATTTAAAAAGAGCATTCTAGCCTCATAGAAAATCGTCTCTGCTTACCTCAGCTCTTAGTTTAGAAGGCAGCCCGTGGAGAGGAGGGAAGGCGCCACCCATTTGTGCATCTGTATCTAAGTGCGATGCCACCCAGGGAGCTGAGCTGCTGAGAGAAGCGCTCTGCTGCTCCCCTCCTCCCGCCGCCTCACCAAGCCGCCCACGAGGCGGCAGCCCCCATGCGGGGACGTGCCGGTGGCATCTGGAGCTGATCCACCCCGGGGTGAAGGTGCCCGCCCGCGGGCTGGGTCACGCAGCAATGCCAGCCTCCAGATCTCAGCGGCTGAAAACAACAAGCAAAGGCTTACTTGTTCACGCCAGGTGTCCGCTGAAGGTCAGCCAGGGGCTGGGGGGAGGGGGAGCTGCTCACGGATTCATGCAGAGGGACTCAGAATGGCACCGCAGCCAACATCTCAAACGCTGCTAGCTGCTGCCAGCAAAGAGCTCAGACGGGTCTCATAGTGGCCTCGATGCTCTGGCCCGAAAGGAACACATGTCACCTTCCTTTGACAGTCCATCGCCCGGAACTACCCATGTCACCTCTCAAAACGCCGGGGCCCAAGCGCCAAGGGAGGAGGAACTGCAGCCGTGTGGTTCTCGGTGCTGGGCGGGTCGCAGTGAGCGTGGACGCCTGGGAGGGCTGGCTCAGAGGAACTCGCACAGGAAACTGGCTCATTTCTTGTGTGATGAAACGAAGGACTGCCCATTGGCCACACACGGCGCCAGCCTCAGGCCTGAACCTTGCCCACAGAAAGCTTTTAGTCTAGTAAGTTGCCAACGCAAGTGACGCAGCCCAAGGCAGGAAGTGGTCAGTGCTGGGCAGGCACTCAGTGAAAACAAAGGCTCCAGAAGTCCTGGGGAGAACACCCCACGGGTGAGCGACAGCCTCGAGAAAGAGAGGGGGAGGGCACTGATGGAGACCTCTGCGAGGGGGGCACACCTCAGAGCGCCCACCCAGTGCAGTGCAGGCCCAGAGCTGAGGAGTTCTCAGGGCTGCCAAGCACCCTGGCCCCGGAGGGACAACGAACCCGCTGAGCACAATGAACCACCCTGTTCGCCCTGCTCAGCCCAGACCCTCCTCTCCCCGCCTGAACCCTCCTGCCAGGCCATGGGCACAGCCCCTGCCCAGTTCCTGCTGCTGCCTCCCCGGACATGGACCTGCTGTCCCTCCCCCTCCCTGCTGGCGTGGCTTCTGCTCCCGAAGGGCTGAGCGAGGCATGGGCAGTGCCCGCACAGGATCACAGGCAGGCGGACAGCAGAACCGCTCTGGGAGACAGGGAGCGGGAAGGGGGATTCAAAAGCACTCTGTGTTTTTACATCGGAGGCGGGAGAAAAATGACAGTGCCTTCCAGAAACCAGACACTCAGCAGAACAAGGGGGAAAAGATGAGCCCAGTCTGGGCCAAACTAAGTTTGAGATGCCGGAGGCATTCTAGCCGCCAGCTGCCGTTCAAGGTGCAGCTTGGCAGAGAGGTCAGCGTGAGCCGTGAATTCACAGGAAGCCAGAGGGGCACTCTGCCACGAGGGCACAAGTTGACCAGGAGAGAGACTCTTTGGGCGCCATCAGCATTTAGAGGTCAGGGACCTGCAGTGGCCTCTGAGTGAGCCATCGGTCACGTGTACTAATTCGATCCCCTCCACCAGGGAGTCCTCCCGTAACAGCTAGAGCACATGTGTCAAACACAAGGCCCGCGGGCCAAATCCGTCCCGCCAGGCCTTGCAATGTGGCCCGCACCGCGCTGTCATCACTGCACTCCGCTGCGTTTCCATCACAATGACAGTTTATGACTGTTCAGTAAACCATTCGGCCCGCGATTTTGGCTGGATTTTAGATTTTGGCCCCTTCTCTGATTGAGTTCGACACCCCTAAGCTAGAGTGTGGAGTCCGCCCATCACACCAACCCTGGCCAGTCACCCATAAATGCGCTGTATGTTGGAAAATGCACCCCAGCCCATGTGGCTCAGTGGTTGAGCCAGGAGGTCACAGTTCCATTCTTGGTCAGGGCACATGCCTGCGTTTCGGGCTCAATCCCCAGTAGGGGTCGTGCAGAAGGCAGCCATTCGATGCTTCTTTCTCCCTCTCTCCCCCTCTCCCTTCCTCTCTGAAATCAATAAAAATACTTTATTGCGTGAAGGCTGGCTGTAACCGGAAAGCGTGCTGAGCTCAGTCGGGGCAGGAGGTTCATTACTCTCCAACACTCAGCGCCAAACAAAGCCGGTGCCCTTAGACTTGATGAAGAGGGAAACCAGGGATGAGCTGCCGTGGGAGAGGGCAGAGAGACTTCAGCATCTGCAAACCAAACGCAGGCATGTGCTCTGACCAGGAATGGAACCGTGACTCTCAGGCCGGCTTGGCGCGCCTGCCTCCTGCGGCTCCCCTCTCAAGGAGGTCTCACTGGGATGACTGCCTGGTGGGAACTGAGCCCCGAGGCTGGAGTGGGCAGACTGTGACTCCTTTCCCTTCGGGGCTTCTCTCCCCACGCAGACTGGGGAGCTGGCTGAGACATCAGGGATTATCCAGAGAGACCGGAGCAGCCCCGTGGCCGGTGCCTCCAGCTTCCTGAGACAGGGTGCGCTTCTTGTCTTCTCTGCAGCTTCCCTGCAGCCTGTGTCGGAGCCAGGCCTGAACCCCGTGGCTAGAAATCCTAAGTGTTTGGGGGAATGCCAGTCCCTGAGACACAGACTAGCCAGTCCCTGAGACACAGACTAGCTCATCACGGTGGAAAGGGCTGTGCCCTTTGAACTGCGGTCTTTCCTCTCCCTGGAGAAATGACCGGCAAGGACACCGTGGCTTGTGAAGTCAAAAAACCAGACGAGCTTCAGACACCGTCTTCCTCAAATGACCAGCAGCTTTCTTTCTCAAATGGCTCCAACATGTGCAGCTGCCATGCACGAGTTCTCCCTCTGCCTCCTGGTTCTGAACCGTTTTTTAAAAATATATTTCTTTATTGATTTCAGAGAGGAAGAAAGAGGGAGACCCAGAAACATCAATGATGAGAGAGAATCCTTGATTGGCTGCCTCCTGCATGCGCCCTTGGCCGGAATCGAACCCAGGACCCTTCAGTAATGCAGGCTGATGCTCTATCCACTGAGCTAAACCGGCTAGGGCTCTGAACCACTTTTGTTCCTGCTGCCGGAACGCCCCAGCTCGCTCTCTCCCTGGCACTGAAGCTGGGGGTTGAACCGCATTCTCCCCTATTTCAGTCCCAGGGGCCATCTGACAGGCGCGCTGGTTCCTCCAGGCTGGCCACGTGAGCATGGAGTCATCGCTTTGACATCAATGCATCTGGAAAACTCGAGAGCCCAGAGCCAGGGGCCGGGGTTCAGTCCTGGCTCCCCACTTCCCCAGTCTACCCTGGGCAGGTCAGATAACCCCCCTGAGGCTCGGCTTCCGATCTGCACCCTGAGAGCATGTCACAGGGTATCTGCCCGCGAGGCCCTGTCACCACACAGAACCGGGTAACCGAGAACAAAGGGGCTCGGCCACTGCGCTGCTCTTACCCCTGGCGGGGGTGGGAGGAGCGGGGGAGGGGGTGCGGGGAAGAAATCGAGTGGCTGTGTAATTAATTTGGAATAATGTAAGCACTGAGCCGTTGAAGAGAAACAAAAGTGGTGACATTTAATGAATGTGTCAGTCGATATCTCGCTCATTCCAGCTGTCTTTTTAAATGTCAACTACCTCACAGCTCCTTTTCCTTGCAGCTGGAAGGTTTGTGCCAACGACAAGCATCGACTCCGGTTTCTGCCCCCAGGTTAGCATGGCCACGTGGTCCCAGAGGCAGGAGGTCCCAGCGGCTGCGGGGACGGGAACAATGACCGTCACCCCAGAGAGCCGGCAAGGCAGCTGCTCCTCGGGTCCCCCCACTGGTCCATTCTCCTTGCCCTTCACCCTCCTTCGTGCCATCGACTCTAGAGAACACACGAGGTGTCCACGCCGAGGGGAAGGTCCCCCTCCCCTGCCCACGGGGCCTCTTCGAACTTCTCAGCCCTTGAAAATTCTCAGGAGGAAAACCTTAGCTGAACTCCAGGGAGAGAGAAAGCCAACAGCCCGTTGCTCCAGGCTCAGGAATTTCCATTCCGAGCCGCTGGCCCTTGGTCCCGACCCCTATAAATACCAGATAACGCTTCAGAGAGTGGCCAGCTGCGTTTTCACTTTGGATAAAAATGTGCGGCTACGCGACACTGCTCGGTTTTTGTCCCAAACTCCATCCCTGCCCCCGAAGAGAGCTTTCCCACTGTCAGCCACAGCTGAGCGGCCATTCTGTGACCTTCCCAGGCACCAGGTGGGAGGAGGAGGAGCAGCTAAGACCCGAGTGGAAAACCGGCTGGTGAGCAAGCAGCCTGGAA